CGGGAGCAGGGCCCCGCGGCGCGGGCCGGGAACGGCGGCACCGGGGCGGCCGCGATGGCCCCGGCTCCGTACGGCCCTTCGGAGCGCGGGATCCGCAGGCTCCCAGCGAGGTCCCCTGCAAGAGGGCGCAGAGATTTGGGGAGGAAGGGGAGGATTTGCTGACTCACCAGGGGCAGGACCCAGGCGGTGTCAAAGGTCCCCTGTGCCCTCTCCCAGGCCGGCGCTTCCTTCTCTTTTTTCTCTTTTTCTTTCCTTCCTTCGATGTTTCACCGAACCAGAGGTTTACTCTCAAAGGCAACAACTTCCTCAGGCTCTGCTTGAGCTCATTCATTAAGCAATTGGAGGATTTTCACGAGCTAGAAAAACAAATTGAAATTTCAAACTTTCCCCAGAAAGGGGGGCTATTTTTAAACACAGTTTTTTTCTGGTTTTCCTTTAAATAGAGGCTCAGTCGCTGCCAGCGCATCCTCAGGGAGCCTCTTCTCTGCTGCCGGAGGCCCCGGCCTCCCTCGCGCCACGGACGTCTCCGCTTGACTTCCCTGCGGCCGGGGGCTTCGGTGAGTGCTCAGGGCTCGGGAGACGGATCCGTGTGGCTGGAAAATGGGTGGGAAAAGAATATCCCCTTCCTGGCAGGGCGGGAGCGACGTGGAGCCCGGGGGCGGCAGGTTTCCTCCACGGGGGGTTTCTTCTTATCTGCCCTTTACCAGGAGGCTGTTGAGGCCCCTGCAATCGGCCTCTGCCCAGGAGAGGCCGCTGGCGGTGATGGGCAGTCGAGGGCACCGCTTGGACTTACCCAAGCGTATTTGTAGTTCAATAATTATTTTTAAATATCATGGTTAACGTATAATGAGCGGGAAGCACTCGCTGTTTGCTTAAAAATAGGCTTGGAATAACGTGTGGAGCAGCAGGACCCAAAAGAGATGCAGAAATACCTGCAGGCCTCGGGAGGAGCCTCCCTGTGCTGCCGTTTCTGAACGTGACCCTTTTCTCGCAGGTTCCTCTGGCCGGTTCTTCAGCACAGACCGTTCCTGGTTCCGAGATGAGCCCCTGAGCAGCAGGGACCTTTTCTTCACGCAGCACCTGAAGCACCACAGGGAAACAGGCCGCTGCCCTCGACACTTTAACACTCCTTTTCCATCCATGCTTCGTCAGCGCACGGTCTAGAGAAGCAGCTGCTGAGATGACTCCGAGCACCGAGGTCCAGCCAAGCTTTGAGGACGTTTTTAATATCCTGTCCCGGATCCCAGAAGACAAACTCCTCAACCTCAAATACAAGCTGAAGCACTTGATGTTTAAGCCCTGCAGCAAACTGCTGCAAGCCATGGTCCTGCTCACGCTGCGGCGGGAGGCGGACGCCAGGATTTGCCTGGACGCTCTGAGGGACGAGCAGGCGGCCCGGTACGTGCACAGGACCAGACTGGGCCCAGCGGGAGCGCAGGAGAACGGGGAGGATCCGCAGCCTCCGGAGCTGGATGCGGAGGCCATGGTGCTTCTGGCACGGATCTACTCGCTGCTGGCGGACGAGAACCTGTGCGGGCGGGAAGCCGTGGTCAGGGCCTACCGGAGGGTCATCGAGGCCTGTGGCGCCAGCAGGGACCCGCAGCAGGAACCGCTCAGGAGCATCCTGGCCGAGGCCCAGGAAAAGTGCGGAGCCGCCCTGGGCTTCGTGGGCTCCGGCAGCCGCTTCCAGCCGCTGAGGTCGGACCTGG